GCTTTCATAAATATTCTCCAAGGCTCATTTTCTAACTTTACCCCAAAATTGATTTTCCTATTGTACATGATTAGCCCCATTCGATGCTGAAATCATGTTCGGCCTCTCCCTCCCATGCATCCTGCCTCTCTCGGTTTGCCCATCTTGTTTGGCCAAGCCACCAGCTGGTCTAGTCGGGTCAGATCGGTCTAGACCAATTGTTGGACCGGCTTGTCATCTGCTACAAAAGTTATCCCATCCGCAGGAGCAGCTGCATGCGTATTAACACTCCCCTTCAATGTAAGAACTTTGTTCTCTAGATGGAAGGATGGAAACTATTTTTGGATCTTCATAATGCCACACGTTGCTTCATAATCTGACAGATCTTTTCACTTAATCGGTATCTCTTTTGCTCCCACCCCTCCTTGGTGAACTCCTTCTACCACTAGAGGTTCCAAAATCACCTCCATGTTATTTGTTAACGTCGAAGGTAGTGAAGAGTGTATTTGATCTTCCAATAACACGCCTCAATTGCGAATCATGAAAGACTGGATGTTGTGTTGATGAGGGTGGTAACATCAAACGGGGAGCTATAGCCTCAATGCGTGTCGTAATATCGTGCAGAACATTTCCTTCGCCTGACCAATGTCTTATGTCGATAGGGCCTCAGCTTCAAGTAAATCATGTCCCCTTCGTCAAATTATATTTTTCTCATATGTCCAACCGCTTTCCTTTTCATGATTTGTTGATCTTTTAATAGATGCCCCTTGAGCTTTGCCAGTATTTTGTTCCTCTATTTTAAGCATCAGTTAACACTAGATACCGGCGTAATGCTATGCCCATAATGTATCAAGTGAGGTGAATACCGTTTATACATAAGCATGAAAGGGGTTGTTTGTTCCGCAACATGATATGAAGTATTATACCAATATAAACAATTCACCTGGCCCAAAACTTCGGCATATCCGATACAAAATAACATGTATGTCTTCACACTCTTGTAGAACATCTCTGTTTGACCATCAGTTTGGGGATGATTTGTTGTGTTTCTCTTAAGTCTGTTCTTTGTAACTTGAACAACTCCTTCAGAATTGGCTGAGGAACACATTGTCCCTGTCAAATACAATAGATTCTATCGTTCCGTGCAAATGGAGCACTTCCCATTTGAACGCCATTGCGACCGGGACCACAATGTAGGGGTGTCATAATGGAATGAAATGTGCTTACTTGCTCAGACGATCCACTACCACCAAGATCACAGTAAACCCTTTTGATTGTAGCAACCCTTCTATAAAATTCATCGTCACTTTTTTCCAAACAATTTAAGGTAAAGCTAAGGGTTGTAGCAAGCCTTCTGGCATCATAGTCAAGTGCTTGTGTTGTTGGCACGCATCACACCGTGCCACCATGTCCTCTATGTGTTTGTGCATCCCCACCCAATAAAGCTTTGCCGATAGACAAATGTATGCCTTTTGTATCCCCGAGTGTCTCTCAATTGCATCGTCGTGAAACTCTTGCAATAGTTTGGAGATGTCTCCAATGATCTCGACAATACGAATTGCCCCCAATAGAGTAGTTGTTACCTCTCAATGCTAATCTTGGATGACTGTTCATATCCTCTAGCAAATTTGCTCTTATGTTTCTCAACCCTTCACTCTGCTCGTTTTCCCTTTCCGGGGCTTTCCAATCTAAGACCAAGGGTATTGATAAGGCTTTTAGCTGGGACCACCATTCTTGACAGTCCATCTGTGGCTTTATTTTTCAATCATAATCGGTACTGAATCTTTAAATCATATCTCAGTAACTTGGATAGCCATCTCTGATGCTCGTCATTCACTATTCTCTGTTTCAATAGATACTCTAAGCTCCTTTGATCTGTACTGACTAGAAAGTGTCGTCCCAGTAGGTACAACTGCCACTTTTGAATGGCCAAGTATCGACTCCCGCTTGTACGCTGACTTGAGTCTTGCCCCTAGTTGTGAGCACCTTGCTGAAGTAGTCAATCTGCCACTAGTTCTACATGAGAATTGCTCAGAATCCATATCTTGACGCATCTGTTTCTGCCACAAATGATCAACTGCAATTTGAAGTGCTAATATCGGAAAATTGGTCATGACTATTCAGATATTTGAAGGCTTGTGTTGTTGCTTTCACCCACATGAAACTATTTTTCTTCAACTGCTCAGTTAGCGACCATACTGTCATTTTACGCCCCCTCACAAATTTTTAATAGTATCCCGTGAGACCTAGGAACCCCCTTCTCAACTCCTTCAAACTCTTTGGTCAAGGCCAGTCCAACATAGCTTGGCTCTTGGTTTGCTCCTGTGTTACTTTCCCACCCTATCACCACATGCCCTAGGTACTCCACCCGTAACTGTGCAAAGGAATATTTCTTGAAGTAGGCATATAACTGACGCTCTCTCAATGTCTTCAAGACTATCCTCAGGTGTTTCACGTGCTCTTGCTCTGTACAACTATAGATCAGAATGTCATCGAGGAAGACCGGAGAATTTGTAGGACCAAATGACATTACCAAGAACTTGTAATGTCGTTCATGTTTATGAACATTGTCTTGTGCACATTAATTGGATTCATTTTAATCTGGTGTTATCCTGACTTCATATCTATCTTTGAGAAAATGACAGTCCCATAAATCGTATCTAGAAGCTCAAATTAAAGGAATAGGAAACCCATCTAATACAGTTTCTTTGTTCAAAGCTCTATAGTTCACATAAAATTGTCAGCCACCATTTTTTTCTTCACTAATAAGAATGGATTTTGAAATGGGCTTACACTTGGTCTGATATTCCTTACTTCTAGCATTTCTCGGATCAATTTTTCTCTCATTCTTCTGAATCTGATGATACCTGTATGGTCTGACACTGAGAGGAGGGACTCTCCTTTAAGGTAATGGCATGTTTGTGCTCCCTTGAGGGCCCGCTCGGCTACTGAAAGTTGTTAGGAAACTGCTGAACACACTAGGGAAACTCCCTGACTCAAGATCACGGACCTTCTCTATGCTCTGCAACTTCAACAAATAGCCTAACCCTAATACCAATTTGATACAACCTGAAACAAAAAACACCGAACAAACAATAAATAAATTGCAATAGAGATGTGGCTCAATTGAGGGCTGATTTTCTTAATACCAATGAAAGCAAATATGATACAACATTGACTTGCTGTTCGGGAGGTAGGTCATCTCTCCACAAACCCTAGACGCCATTAAAAATACCCAGAGAAAAAAAAAAATTTCAAATAAAAACATAAAACAAATCGTGACCAATCAATTAACCCTCATAAAAACCCCACCTAGGCGTTGAAATCGTGCTCAACCTCTCGGGCATCCCGCCTCTCTCAGGTAGGCCACCTGGCTTGGCCAGGCCATCGATTGGTCTGGCTGGGTCTAGCCGGTCCAGATCGGTCGTCCTTGGACCTGGTTCATCCTCTCTCACGTCGGTTCTTCCATCTACAGGAGCAGGCGCAGGTGTATTACGATGCTTAATTCTTTGTTAGCATCTCAGTTGGTCTTGTGTGAGTGACATTAGTGGTGCCTAGTGCCTTGGACATCGGACAATCATATTGCCATGAGAGCATATGATGCATTTGATATTTCAAATTTATTGAAACATTGCCGTAGCATTAGATAACAAATAACGCCTTATATTCATAAAGAATCCTTGAGTGTTTTTTCCCGCCCGCATCAGATGTACGGTACACTAAACGTTATCATTATGATTCACAATAAAATGATGGAGACCTAAGAATTTGATCATTGCACACAATAAACTGGTGGAGACTTCAGAATTTGATCATTTCACACATAGTAAATTGCAAAGTATGCACACGTCACTTGCATGGTGCAATTACTACAAGGAAACAAAACTACAAATAATTTAATCACAAATTTCAATTATTCAAAATCAAATCTAAAATAGGGAAGACTGATATAACACAACAAGCTTTGGTTTCTCATGACAACGGTAAACTTAGAACTATATTTTAACTATCATATCTATTTTCTTTTTTATCTAGACACTAACATTATGAAATGAAAAGCTTGTTCTAACACCGCGTGATAGCGAAGTACTTTTTTCTGCTGCTCATTTTCTTCTTTTTCTTAGTTTTTTTTTTAATTTTTTTTCTTGTAAGATTTGTTTTGTTATTCCTGTTTTGTTTACTAGAAGCTTTATTTTTTAACGTGAGCAAATTGATATCATATATTAGAATGATGTGCCATTGTTGAAGGTCATTTTGTTTGATGTTTCTCTTGGTTCTTACTGTTGACTGTGAGAGGGTGAATTAGGATTCTAGGGAGATAAATAACGAAGTTAATGTGTGCCGCGGATATCATAAGCTGTAAGGAAATAAAAGAAAGGGTGGAGAATCTAATGCGAGGATATGAACATATCAAAATGCTTATTGAAACTTTTGCTTGCAGAATGTGGCTAAAAAATAGAGAACATGTATCAGCATGATTTATTTGACAAAGTAAAAAAAGCCTTTTCCTTTTTGGCAGGCCACATTTATTCTGGGCTAGGTTAAGATCACCTTTTTTTTTATTGTTACTTTATTTTTATTTATTTAATTTATGTTTTGACATGAAATATATTAAGTTTAGCCTCTTAACAATATGTTTTATGCTTATCCATGCAATGTTGGCAGTGATGTCTATTTGGCTCGTGACCGTTGGCGGTGGTGGCGGTTGCTGCTAGTAGTATTAAAATATTTATTTAAATTTTTTTTTAAATATCTAAACTTTATTTTGAGTTTTTAATTTAACTTGCTTTGCTTTTTGAAGTAAAATCAAAACGCAGTTAAAATTAAATTAGACTCTTTTGAAGAATAAAACTAGAAAAAACATGATGGTTAACTGGCCCTAATCATGTAAACGTTAGAGCTAAATGATAAAACCGGTTCTGTTTTCCCTTATAATGAGGACTCTCTTTCCATTCCCAAGAAATAATTCAGCATTACTCCGGCAATACAAATAACCTTACAATATGCAATAACATGCACAGATTCATTAGGAAGTGTTCCTTTATGGGAAGCAGTTCTCGGCAAGCATGAAGCTGTAATAAGGCTGCTGATAGACAATGGCGCGGACCTCTCCTATGGTGACATGGCCCAATATGCTTGCACTGCGGCAGAGCAGAACAGCATAGAACTGCTCAAGGACATTGTCAATTATGGCGGCGATGTAACGCTCCCACGGAGCGACGGGAGCACAGCTCTTCACCTTGCGGTCTGTGAGGGTAACTTGGAGATGGTCAAGTTCTTGCTTCACCAAGGAGCTGATTTTAACAAACAGGACTTGCATGGCTGGAGTCCACTTGGATTAGCCGAGCAGCAAGGCCATCAGGATATTATTTCGCTCTTTCGTACAACCAAATCAAGTGAAAATGAGAGCCAGCAGAAAAAGGACGACAGCCCTTCCTCTGAGTTTAAAACCTCGACAGAAGTTCGAGCTCTTGGAAGATTCAGAAGTGAGACCTCTACGGCTATCCGATCTCTTGGAAGATTCAGGAGTGAGCCGGCGATGGTGCAAGTTTTGCAGGAAGGAAACCACCCGCCATTGGGCGAGGGTGCTTCGAAGAGAGGTCAACAGAAGGGTAATTTAAATAACTTTTCAAACTCGCTCTTTGGTATCATGTCAGCTGCTCAAGCTGATAGGAGTGGCAGTCCTCTTCTTTCATCCAGATCAACTACTCTAAGGGCTGGTTTCGGATATTTTCCCGGCCATCATCAGCAACATATTCAGCAGCACAACCACCACAACCGGTACCACCATGCTCACATCAGGCTAACAATAAGCTGTCCTGAGAGGAGAGATTGTGCGAGCAAGCTCGTGCTTCTCCCAAAATCCATTGAGGAGCTCCTCTCTCTTTGCCACAAAAAATTTGGATTCCAGCCTGCCAAAGTTGTTACAAAGGATGGGGCCGAAATCGATGATGTGCAGATCATCCGTGACGGCGATCATGTCTTTCTAGTGAGTAATTCGTGGAAAGGAAAAAATAGCAGCGTTTCATAGTGTGAGCTATTGTTTCAATGTGATGCTGAAGGAAGGAGTTGGAAGTCTTGTTTTAAGGAGTTCCAGTTCAGTTGCCATCTTAGCAGCTCTTTGTATGTATTTTTGGCTCTGAAAGTTTACTTGAGTAAGCAGGCCGGTTGCGTCTATTTTAAAGATGCCTTTCCAATCTTCGGAAGCAGTATTTTTAATCAAAGCTATTTTTTTTTTCAGCTGTAGTGATGTATGAGAGCTAATCTGGTTTATTGTAGTTAGAAAGTGTTGCATATATGTTCCAAATATAGAGATAATTTTTATTATGTGGAAGTCTGATTGTGTCGGTCCTACAGATTTTCCATTCTCTTGTGCAAGGAGTGGAGTGCGAGTAGGGCTGTCTAAACGGCTCGTTGTTCGCAAACAGCTCGTGTTCGGCTCGTTAATTTCATTCGATACCTTAACGAGCCGAACACGAACTAAGATGTTTGTTCGTGTTCGGCTCGTTTTGGCTCGAAATACTACTCATCAAGTTTCTATATATATATATATATATATATATAAAGTAGTATTTTAAAAAAATCTAATTGACTACAAGACTAAAAAAATTTATAACCAATTAAAACATTGATAAAGAAAATAGAATAAAATTATTAAATTAGATTCAAATGATGTTTTAATATAAATAATAATTTTTAAATCT